TATAAGGTGTCCTAAATACCGCACTTCAGTGCAGAAAAATGAACACTTTTCCCGTTTAGCGTTTAATTTAAAAAGCTGCAATCGTTGAAACACAGCCGTTAGATCGTTTATATGCTTTTCATATGATGGTGACAGAATAATAATGTCGTCTAAATATATAAGTGCAACCACATCACTTAAACCAGATCTGAACCGGTCCATCAACCGCTGAAACTTGGCTGGCGAGTTCCGGAGACCAAAGGGCATTCGTATGAAGCGGAACAGGCCAAAAGGAGTGACAAAGGCAGTCTTGTCACAGTCCTCTGGTTTAACTTCAATCTGCCAATGCCCTGATCTCAAGTCAATCGTTGTATATACAACGTAGGAATCGCAGCGTGTAGTAAATCGTCTAATCGTGGTAGAGGGTACCTATCAGGAACTGTTATATCATATAATTTTCTATAATCTATGCAAACACGAAGAATTTTATCGGGTTTTGGAACCAAAACCACTGGGGCTGCATAAGCTGACTCGCATTCTTCGACAATATCATTTGCGAACATTTTATCTAATTCCATACGCAAATTCTCCTTTCGCAAAGGTGACATAGGGCGGAACGGCTATAGGTTTTGTGTCAATCAGCTGGATCGAGTGCTGTGCAAATGGTGTCACTTCTTTGCTTTCTTCGAACACAGAAACAAACGTAAGCAAAAGATGATTTAAATTGTTACGTTGAGGTCTCGTTAATAAGACACCCTCGTCTTCTCTCAATTCAATGTCTATTGCATTCATGGTAATATCGGAAGTTATCTTAGGTGTATAAAATGAATATAACACGTCAGGACTATTTGCAAAATACCAATTCATCGCAGCTGGATTCAAGACCATTCCCGCTTTAACAACAAAATCTATTCCCATTAAGGTTTTATTGTCTTCTAAATCTGAAAATGCCATCAGCGTGATTGGAATATCATTTCCTTCAAGATTTACAATGACATCATAAAGCAGCACTTTTCGTCATTAAACAAAACCATTAGCTAATGAGAAAGCTATTGTAGTAGAACTAATGTTTTGGGCTTTAAAATAATCAAAAAGTTTACGTCCAGCGATACTCCGCTTTGCACCAGTATCTACATGAACAAGTCTTTCTAGTTCGGAAACAGAAACCTTAACTAGTGGTCGATAATATTCAGGTATTACATCGGCTGCCAACACGTCAACCGTTTGGATGCCGTTGAGATGACTATTCGGGCTATTGTCGGTAGCTCGGGCTTTAGGGCAGTTCTATCTAATATGACCTGGAGCTCTACAGCCAAAACAAATGATCTCAGAAGACTTATTGATAGCCGGGGTTTCACTTCTAGAATCGCTTTCTCGTTTCGAGTTATTATCCGGTTCTCGTACTTTTACTGAAGCTAACAACATTCTACATGCAGACTTTTCATGTCCAAAATTCATACAATAATCACAACGAGTTCTAGAATGATTAGTTTTCTTTTTTTCGTTTCCACTACCTTCAATTTCAATAAAGTTCTCTTCAATCGAGCGCGCTTTCATTATCAGCTCATCAAAGTTATGACATCATCGCGGGGCAACAATCTGCGTAAACGTTTATGCAATAAACCATAAATCATGTCAAGTTTGAATTGATCGGGCAAAGGTGGGTTATTTGGCAATTTCGCTAAAAGAGCGCGAGCCTTATTCACAAAAATGTCAGTTGATTCTCGATCGGCCTGCTCTGTCGAAAAAAGTTCTCTAAAAATTTTATATGGGGGTTTATTACCGCCGTACGCACGACGTAGCGATTTGAGAGCCTCGCTCTACGTTCCAACCGAACTTTTCGCTCCTTGCCAATAAGTAGCAGCCGGTCCGTCCAATAACATCGGTAATCCAAAAAAACCTTTCGCGTCCGAAACGTTAAGGCAGTTCTTATATACCGTAATAGCATCAATAAACGCATCGACGTTGTCTGATTTCTCACCGGAAAAACGCGAATTACACCTTGAAAAATTCCCTACCACCTGGAAGTCCCGCCAATGATACCCCATCATGATGACAATTGACAGTACCAACTCAAACTTAACCGCAACAAAAGTTACTTGAACTGCACCACGCGTCAAATGAAAGACGTATCCTCACGATTTAAATTACAACAGTTTAACAATTTCCGTATTTTCTGGCTAACTAACTGCATAAAACACTTTAACAGGCGTTCTGTTTCGGGCCTTTACGTTGGGCGTCACTTTTAGTCGCTAACTTTCTCGACTAATTCCTCGGGTCAATCACAACCACTGTTATACCACAATAAATAAAACACCGGGCTCCACGAACCGCAACTTGTTTATTTATAATATTTAGAACACTTAATCTAGAGTATAATTAACTATGTAAGGTTTAACAAAATAAAAAGGGTAACCGAAGTACAAGGTGTCACTGCATACCTTCTTGCCGGGTTCAACCAAACTATACAGGCGACGCTAAAAACCGCAAGACTCCGTAGCTCTTGCGCAGGCGCGAAATAATTTTGAGTCATGTCTATGATTTTGCTCTTGCCGCCTTTTTATTCGAATTCAAACAAACGATCTCAAGCGTTCTGATCTGAGGAGTAGAAATAAACTGGGCAGTAATCTACTAATAATTGATAACGTAGGCAGAAAAATGATACTCATATACAATGTAAACGCATTCTTTATTAATATGAATGGAAAATAAAATAAAAAATAAAAAATTATTTCAACAAATTTATAATGCAAAATAAATACATAACAAACATGTTTAATTAATTATTAAATTTATTGTAATTATGGACAGGTTTCTATGAAACAAAGCTAAAACATCACAAAAAACGAAGAAACAATTCTCACTTTAAACTTTTTCGAAGGTTTTTATTAAAATACAAAGTACAACTGTTTCGATTAGATTAAGTCTTTCTGAAGAGTACATACAAAATGGTTTTGTACATTTGAATCCTAATGTACTCCTTTCTGCTTTCGTTAACTTTATCATCTAGAAAAATAAAAAAACTTTTAATCAAGGTTTCTCATTTAATGTTTAGAAAAACTCATGTTTGGGATTAGATTACATACGTACTTTATTTTTTCTTAGATGGGAAATACTCCTGTTTAGCCATTTTACGTTTTCTTAAATTTCTACTTTGTTTTTGAACTTTTTCTGTATGCTTTCCAAATTCCTTGAGTGCTACTTGAAAGGCTTCATCATCCAGTTGATTCATTGCAATGCGATACGTTTGCATTGCTATCTTCAATTGCGTTTCACGGTCTTGATGTACTTCTTTGTTATTTATATTTTTCTGATTTTGAAAATGATTAATATAACAGATATAACGTAAAAACGTCTGCCTAATAATATAAACAAATACATTAAATTGTTCGACACTATTTACACCAGCACCACTTATAAGCTAAACACAAAAATAAGTAATTGTTTTAAGAAAGCAGAATAAATTCGCTTTTTAAACAATGATTATGAGTCTTTGTTTAATGCATAGATTAAACACTGTTGCATGTGCACAATTCAGCAGATGAAGGAAATCCAAAAACGAATGAAATAAATCAGCATACACGATTAACCATGAATTGAATTGACGGTTAAAAATGTAGTTAGAGGTTAGAACGATTTAAAAATATGAGAAAGGGCAGCAAGACGATTCTCATAGACATTCTTGACAGGAGTTAATTTCGCGCCTGCGCAAACGGTACGGAGTCTTGCGGTTTTTAGTGTCGCCTAAACTATACTGGTGTGGTCTTTCTATAACCGGGTCGGGGCGAGTCACACCGAATGGATTCGACATCATGGCGGTAAACTCAAATAAGGGTCACTATACTGTGAAATATAAGTTTTCGGGGGGGAGCAGTTTCACATGTTGGTAATTCACCTTACGTGAAATAATGTCCCATGGCCTATACTAGGTTGCCTAGATTCCACTGATAACAAAAAAGACCAAAGTTTTTTACAACATTGTACATTTTGGAATGGAATCGTTATTGAATACATGTCCATCCCCTATAAACAGTTGTCGTGATATCGGTAGAAGAACAGTTCTAGTTATGGGGTGCTAGAAGGCGAAATAGGAAGGACAAAGAAGCGATTTATTGAGCAATATAGTGGTGAATAGGCGAATAATTAATAAGTTAATAAATTATAAAAATAATTCAGGGTGCAAAAGTTGTATTATTACACAACAGTACTATATAACAAGATAGTAAGGGGACAGGACATGAAAAATGTACAAAAACCAAGATAAATGATAAGGTTAAAAGTATTACTGTGGGAGTCATGCCAAGGGGATTTGCAGGTGGAATATGTTATTTTATATTGTTTTTATTTAACAATACGTTTAATAAAAAAACTAAGGTTCTGTTAACTCCATTTTCTCTCTCTCTTGTTAGATTAGGCATCACCCATCATATCTCCGTGTCGTTAGGTTGCCTACCCCACACCCCCTATTTTTTTTGTTTTTAAAGAATCACCTTCTGAGACGGTTTAACTTTTCGACCCGAAGATGTACTTTTCTCTTTGTTCACAAAACCCTCTTCATAATTTGTTTCCTCAGAATTGTCCCTACTTGATTCTGTGTCCTTACTCGTCTCTGTATCACGTTCACTAGTTTCACTTTTTATATCTAAATAAACTTTTACATCCTCATTCTTCTCTTCCTCCCTTTCCTGAGACAAAAATGAAGCCTTTCCATTTCCTAAATTCAACTTTACCGTTCCACTGGGTTTTATGAATCTTCTATTCCGAATTAAAACGTTCCCGTTCTTCATTTTTATCCCGTACGTTCTATCTCTAACTTTTTCTACTATGACCCCTGGGAACCATTGACCTTTAGGTTTTGTTTGTACGTATACTTGTGTGTTTACTTTTAAAGAATTTAAGTCGCGGTTTTATTGTAATAGCTTTTACACTTGTCGCGTTTTTGTCTTAAACATTCATTATAACTTTGATAATTTACATTTGTAGGTCTTAGGTTCTCAGTGGACGTAGGTACAATAGTTCTTAATCTAATCTGTAAGGCTAACATAAAATCCTTGTTATCTGAAAGTGTCTTTTTGAGTATGTTTTTAGCAGTTTGTATATTTCTTTCCGACATACCATTAGATCAGTGGTTCCCAAACTTATTTTGTCTACTGCCCACTTTGAGAATAAATATTTTTTTAGCGCCCCCATTTTTTCACCTATTTAAAAACCACTATAACTTCAAATTAAATTAATTAATTATTGTGACCTATATATGTATATTATGTATATTAACGGAGAATTCTAAACGAAACTTTTACTATAACCCGCAACTTGAAACCTGAGCGCAGTAGGTAACATACAACGGCGCTTAGGTCTCAAGTTAACTCTTACGGGCTCCACCTGCCAATAAGAATGATTATTGAAACGCAACTTTATAGTATTAAAACAGAGTATCTTTTATTAAAAATATAACTAAAATAATCAATCCTTATATAAAAACTAATGTGAAGGATGAATCTGATGCTGTTTAATAAGTTTGTTGATATCAGGTTCCAATTTACTCAAGAACAGTCGCAAGTCGCCACGTTCGGTAACAAGCAAACGATTTCTCTTTTTAGTAAGCAGTGTTGTCACAGCACTAAATCCACGTTCACACAAATATGACGATGGGAATGCTATCAAGAATCGTTGAACGATTGACCACAATCCAGGGTACAATTGAGGGATCGGTTTTTGAAGCCAAAATTCTTGGTAACCATTTTTGAACTTGATTTTTATTTCCTCGTTTGTTGTCAATTCTATAAGTTCTTCTTCCAGCTGAGGTGACATTGCTGTGTTGACATTTGAAAACGGATCCAACACCCAGTCTGGTATTTCCAAGTTCAAAATGTCCTGGTATCGTTCGGTGAAGTCAATGTGGAGGTTTTCCAAATGTTGGCAGTAGGCAAACAATTCGTCGTTACTGCATGATACTGATAAATTTGGAAAATTGTGAAACTCACGTCTGCCCAGATTCTTTTTGTGTAGAAGCAGTTTGGCTGCGAAAGCAGCAACGACGTTTTTTGTTTTAATTAAATTTAGTTTATCGCCTTGCAGTTGGAGATTCATGTCGTTGAACAATTTATACAGGTCTGTCATGTAAGCTATATCATTCTTTGATGTTATGAGCTTGTCGTGCAATTCTGTATCTTTAGTTTCCAAGAACTCTATAACAGAGTCAAACAGGTTGTAAAATCGAGTCAGACAATTGCCTCTTGATAGCCAACGAACTTCAGTATGAAACAACAAACGGTTGAAATCCTCGTCATTAGTAACACAAAGCTGATGAAATAATCTATCATTCAAAGAGCTGTTGCGGATTTTATTGACTGCTTTGATGACATATTGCAGTGATTGAAATAGTTTTTCACTTAAGTTTCTAGCAACTAAATGTTGTCTATGAATAACGCAATGTACACCAAGGACATCTGGAATTTTATTTTTTAAGTACGCTATGAAGCCTTTATGGCACCCTGTCATAGCCGGAGCGCCATCCGTAGCAACTGAAATAATATTTTTCAAAGGAATCTCTTTCTCATCGCAAAACTTTTCCAATGTATTGAATATGGTTTCACCTTTTGTATCGGTCTCTAAATTTCTAGCAAATAATAGTTCTTCACATATTTTCTCATCTTTAATAAACCTCACGTAAGACAACAACAATGCTTCATTAGTTGGTAAAGTGGACTCATCGAGCTGAATTGAGAATTGACTTGTCCTCAGGTGATCGCACAATGATTCTTCAATGTTTTCAGCCATTTCATCAATTCGTCTTTGCACAGAATTATTACTCAAAGGAATTTTTCGGATAATATCTGCGGCCGGTTTATGAAGCACAGTAGTTATTACTTCATTTATTGCTGGCAATATTAACTCTTCTCCGATGTTATGTGGTTTGCCTTTTTGAGCAATTAACAAAGAGATATTGTACGAAGCTCGAAGTCCGTCGTCATCTTGCTTAGCAGCCGCCGAAAATAGTTTTACTACACTTGGCTGAGTATTATGCTTCTTCTCTAGGTCTTGAAAATATGCTACATTCTTGTCTTTCTTATCTGGATGCATTTTATTCAAATGATCTTGCAGCCTTGAAGGCTTCATTGCTTCATTCGAAAATGTTTTTAGACATAGAAGACACAAAGGCGACGATGGGTTTGTGGGATTTTCAATAAATCCGAATTTAATATATTCCGCAGAGTATTGCCGTCTCTTCTTTTTTACTTCCGACATTGTTTTGCTTTGAGAAATACGTTCAACTTCGCGAGTAGAGGAGGCGTAAGTACTGCTCATCTATTGCGCGCGAGACCACAAATGAAAATAAAATAAATATTACATTGTTTATATAGGAATGCTTAAGCAGCACGCACCGACAGGAATAAAACAAACATGCATAAACTCGTTTATCTCATTCGACGCTCAATCGTACTCAACAAGTCCGAACAAGCATTCAATGAACCAGCCGACTGATACAGGAATGCACAATTCGGGTTATTTAACAAAAACTTGTTAAAACATGATAGATATCTACGAGTACTAATAACTATTAATTTTTTCTATATTCAATAAAATAGGACAGATATATGAACTACGCGGAGAGAAATATAGAACCGAGTTTGAGCAATCTTTTAATTCATATTAGTTGATGTTCACAAGTTGTTGTTGAGAGTCGAGAGCTCTTGCAGTTGTTGTTTAAGAGGCCTCTTAGCTAAATAAAATTACAAATCACCCCCCGCCCGCCCGCCTCTACACAACGCCCCCATTTTCTTCTGGGTCTCTTACCGCCCCCCTTGAGACCTGCAGCGCCCACAAGGGGGCGTTACCGCCCACTTTGGGAAAGACTGCATTAGATTGAGCATTTGTGGGTGAAGTAACAACACAACACAACTCCCAATCCTTCAAGAATTTCGCAAATTTTTTACAAGTAAATTGAGGTCCCCCGTCTGATACTAACGTTAATGGTATACCGTGTCTAGAGAATATACTTTTTAATTTCAAAATCACATTATAACTAGTTGTGTCGTTTCCTAGTTTTTCAATTTCAATATATGTTAAGTATAGTACATTTTACTTTATTGTATTGGCTACTCTGCTCGGTCTAGGTTTGGCAGTACTGCCCACACGTTCTTGTGTTCGTAGTAGTTGACTATTAGCACAGCCGTCTCTAATACAAGCCATGCTGAGAAATTTGGCAACAGCGCATTGCTTCGATGTGAGAGTCCTACTCTGCGAGTCTTAGTTGTTATTACTACACGTAGTTACACATGATTTTTAGACACCCATTACGATAAAAATTAATTGAATTATTAAATAACTAACTAAATAACATCACTGATAGTATGTGACATTATTTAAAATACACTTCAACATGTAGGTATTAAGAATAAAATAGAAAAGACAAAAGATTAGGTGTAAACATTGTTAGGTACCTACATGAATTTCATCTCGATAATTGTAATTTTATTAAAGCAAATTTCCACACCACAATTGAAGTATTGCCAAGGCGCGTTAGCTTTTTTTGGGGTTCGCCAATAGCCCTGCCATCCCATTAGAAAAAACTAATTACAATTTCTAATTTACGGATTTTTGCTGTCTTACAGTTAGCTGAATTTGAATTGGAGTGGCGG